GATGGTGTGGTTGTCAGAACTGGGGCCATGGTGGTTGATGGTGTGGTTGTCAGAACTGGGGCCATGGTGGTTGATGGTGTGGTTGTCAGAACTGGAGTCATGTTTGTCATTATAGTTTTTGTGGCTAAGACACAAACAGCACATGGTTCACTCCTGTGGACAGTCCAGCTCTGCGTATGGCCTAAACTTTTCCCCCTAGTAACTTAGGGATTTGCTCTCCAGTCACCATCCAAACCTTCATATTAATTCTTTTCTAAAGGAAGATGATGTGGGGAGCAAAGCAGCCCCCCTTTAAAACCCGCTTCCTTCATGGCTCACTCATTACTGCCTGGTGTGCAAAATGCAGAAAACTTCAGTTTTGCAGTTTCTCTCTATTTTTAAAAAATATTTATTTATATGTCTATGAGTATTTGCTTGCCCATATCTATGAGCACCATGTGTATGTGGGGCTTGTGGAGGCCAGGAGAGATCAGATCCCCTGGAACTGGAGTTGAAGATGGTTGTGAGCTGCTGTGTGGACTGGGATCCAAACCCAGTCCTCTGGAGAAGCAGTCAGTGCTCTCAATCACTGAGCCCTCTCTCCTGCTCCAATTTTCTCTATTTTCCTTATTGTAGTTGTTTAAACAGACACAAATCTGATCCTTCTTACTCTATCTTATGCAGAAACAGAGCTTCTGTGGCTTCATCTATTTTATGTAAAAGGGTGGTGTTGGGGGTGTCAGGATGGGAGTTTAGGTCAGTGGTAAGTGCGTGGCTAGCACACCTGAGGGTCTGAGTTCAGTCCCCAGATGTGCACAAGTGAGAATGTGCAAGACTCACATGTGGGGGCGGAAGACAAGGCCTCCCCAGCTCACCTTTATCTCAATAGAAAACAGGACCAGCAGAGTCCACTGTGGTTTCCTTTTCCAGTAAGACTTTTACAGTAATGAGTTCAGGGTCCCCGATTGCTCACCCCAGCCAGGATCTTCTGGAATTTTTCTTACCTGGGTCAATATTCACATTAACTTCAAAATGGGGATCACGTCCAGTTCTCTCAATCGCACACCAGTAAATGCCAGCATCGCTTATTCTCAGGTCCTCCATGGTCACTGTGACGATGAAGTCTGTCTGGTCATCCCTGGTGGACACACGCTTCTTCTTCACCAACTGCTCTGATGTATCAGTGTGAATGAGGATCTCACATGTACTCCAATCAGCTCCTTGGCACCAGTACTTCTTGTAATCCTTCCAGGATGAGTCATAAGGACACAGCACAGTCAAGGAGCCCTGCTCCTGACCGCTCACCGTGTCTGGACCTGTGATTGGATCCTGAGCAGTGGAGAAGCCTGGAAAATACAAAACCATGGACCACTGATCTCTCACTCTAAGATCAGGACCCACTGCCCTGTGCCAAAAAGAGTACACCACTGAGTAACAATCAGTGCAGAGCTACCCCTTTCTCAAGACAGCTAATCATCATTCTTTGGTTAAAGACTCAAAAAATGGCTGAAGGGCCCAGTTATAGGTCTCATAAGTTAAAATGGTGACACAGAGCAATCATGACTTCCCATCACCTACCTCTCTTCATACCACAATGGCCAATAAACGTACATTTCAAAGAATCCCTTTGCAACCATCTTTGCATTACCCTGGAGCAGAGGACATGTCAGAAGACCTTGTCCACACAACATGATTCTGCCTTCATTTCTGTGCCCATGACCCTCAGGAATCCATCTGAAGAAGCCACAGCCTATGGCCATGAAGAGGCCACTTCAGGCAGTTCCAACAGTCTCTAGGGGTTCTTTAGGGAACCACCCTGGATGAATGACTTGGAAGCTGACCAAAATGACGCCACCAATCTGTTCTCCTGTGGTACAGAGGCAACAGCACACAGATCCTGTGCTGTCCTTCAGATCCTTGTAAATCTGACCCAAAGCTCCCAATGAGGGCTGAGGGTACAGCTCAGTAAGTGGGGTGCTTTCATAGCAGGGACAAAACCAAACAATAACAAATATCTGCCTAGAAATGATAAAGAAGAGTATCAGGGTTTTAGATTCAACAACAACAATAACAATAACAAAGTATGTTCCTAATGGCACAGGTAAGAAAACATAAATTACTAAATGTACTTATTTCAAACTAAGAGGACTCAGCCAACAGAGTGGAGAGATGGCTTGCATTGTGGGAGAGCATCTTTTCAGACTATGCATCTGACAAGGGGTTAATTTCTAGACTATGTGAGCAAGAATTCAACTCAAGAGTCCACCAGCAGTCATAATCCAGTAGAAAATGATCTACTGAGGCGCTGTGGAGAAGGTTTAGTAAGCGAGACACCTGCTGTGTTAACCTAAGCATGAAGATGAGTGTGTGTTCCCAGCAACCATGTAAATGTCAGGAGTGCTGGTGTGTCCCTGGAGCCCAGCACAGTGGTGGGCAGTAGAGACAGGGGATCCTGGAAGCCTTGGCTATCCAAGCCAGCCTCAGTGTCAGTGTGGAACCCTGTCTCAAAACATAAAGGTGGGAGTAGGGCATGGTGGTGCATGCTTTAATGCCAGCACTCTGGAGGCAGAGGTAGGCAGATCTCTGTGAGTTCTGGTTTACAAAAAAAGTTGCAGGCCAGCTGGAGCTACATAGTGAGACTCTGTGTCAAAAATAAAATGAAATAAAAAGATAAAGGTGTGCATGCACACTTGCTCACACCTACGCACACATGAGCAGATGAACTGAGCACACAGTTCTCAAAGGAGATACAAATGGCCAATAAATATATGGAGAAATGCTCCATTTCACTAATTGTCAGGGAGATTGATGCAAATCAGAATCACAGAGAGCCGTCATCATCCCCAGTCAGAATGGATATTACCAAAAAGACAAAATATAACAACTGTAGATGTGTGTGTGGGACAGTGGAACTCTCACACGCTGTGGGTTGGAATGTAAATTAGACATTGTGGGAAACAGCATGGACGTTCCTCAGAAAAGCACAGAACTGCCACATAATTCAGCAGCCGCACTTGGGGATAAAGCCTGTGTCGGATACTTCTTGTCAACCTGACTCCATCTTGGGGCATGCAGAAAGAAAGACATCAATTGAGAAGATGCCTCCATCAGGTGAGCCTGTAGGCAAGTGTGCGGGACATTTTCTTGATGTGGAGAGATCTAGTCTGCTGTGGTGGTGTCACCCCTGGGTAGTGAAAGAGAGCAGGCTGAACAAGCCTTGGGAGCATGCCAGTGAGCAGCACTCCTCCAGGATCTCGGTCTCAGTTCCTGCCTCCAGGTTCCTGCCCATCTTGAGCTCCAGCTCTGGTTTCTTTCCATGATGGATTGTGATCCGGACATGTAAGTAAACAAGCCTTCTCCTCCCCGAGCTGTTCTTGGCCATGGTCTGTATCACAGTGATAGAAAGCAAGCCCGGAGTCCAGAGAATTAGTGAGTGTAGTGCAGTGATCCTTCCCCTGTGTTTCCTGCAGCAGATTCACAACAGCCATGGCACAGGATCAGCCTCGTTGTGGATGGATGGGTAATAAAGTGTGGTACATAAATGCAGTGGAATAGGATTGTAGATGGATTGAATTCCATCATTTACAGCCAGGGATGGGATTGGAGGAAGTGAAATAAACCAGACACAGAAAGACACTACCACAGATTTCTATTTATATGTGGAAGCTAAAAAGTTATTCTCTGGGTCCAGGGGATGGGGAGATGAACAAGTCAGTGAAGTGTTTGCTGCAGCAGCAGGAGAACCTGAGTTTGGATCTTCAGAACACATAGAAAAATTCAGATGAGGTGGGGTGTGTCTGTACCCCTAAGAGCTGGGGAGTCAGGGACAAGAGGATCCCTGGGGATCCATCACTGGCCACCTAGGCTGAGTCAGTGAGCTCCAGCTCTCAACAAACAAGGTGGAGAGTGATAAAGGTACCCAGTGGTAATCTCTGGCTTCCACATATGTGTGTGCATACACATATGTACTTGAGCACACACATACACACACTAAACATTTACATACGCATACACCTCGCAGACAGATTTTTTTCAAAAAGCATGAAAGTTAACTTCAAAGAAGTAGTGAACAGAATAGCCATTATCAGCCTGGGCAGGGTGCCAGGGAAGAGGTGGACAGAGAGAGTGCTGAGGATGTAGGGGTCATTTGGTGAGTTGACAACGTCTAGTGTTGTACAACACAGCTGAGAAATATGGTTGACGATTCAGTATTTCAAAATAGCTCATAGAGAAGATTTCCGATGCCTCTAGTACACAGAAATGACAGACTCATGTGGTGGAATGTCAGTTCCCTGGATCTGACCGTCACATCCTATATACACACATGCAAATAGTACATTGTATCTATCAGTTTCTTTTTTCTTTTTGAGATAGGTTTCCCTGTGTAGACCAGACTGGCCTTGAGCTCACAGAGGTCCACCTACCTCTGTCTTCTCAGTGCCGGCATTAGAGCATGCACTACCACACCCCTAGAAGTATGTTTAATTACTGTGTCGATTAAAAATCAGAATGTAACTGGAAATGGAGGTGTATGCTAGAAATCCCAACACTCGGAAGGTAGAGGCCAGAGAATCACAAGTTCCGGGTCATCCTAGGCTGCATAAGATGTTATCTCAAAGTGCCAAATATAAAACTATAAATGTATTTTTAAAAGAATTAGTTTGTCCATGGACTCAACCACTTTTGTCGGGCATTGGGATTGAGAAACACACTCTGGAAGGTTTTTAAATTTTAGTTTTGGTTTTGTTTTCCTGCAGCACCCACAGGATCCATCAGATGCCAACAACTTTCCTTTTGTTTAGGGAGTAAGCAGCTGATGAATGAATTAGCCTTTCCTGTTTTCCCTAACCCAGGGCAGACTCTGTGTCCTGTGCCACCACTGACTCTGTGATGTCTTAAAGCCCCAGCTACTTACCTGGGAGGAAGAGGAGCAGAGCAGGGAACAGCCACATGGTCCTGCCTCCTCTCCTGGCCGTGGTGGTGACAGATGCCAGCACCCTGCAAGAACTCAAAGCTCAGCCTGAATTTCCTCTAGGTCTCTCTCGTTTACTTCCTTGACAACTTCTCACTTTTGCTTGTTTCGAGAAAGAGAATGTCAGTCTTTGAGAAGACCAAGTCATCGTATGTGTGGTGCAGCTGGGTGAACAGGGAATTTCCTCTGCTGCTGTATATGAACTTAAAAGATGGGTGGGACTCTTAAAGGGAGAGGCAGATAGACAGGACAGTAAAGACAGATGCAAACTACAGAACACAGCAAACCCCTCTGCTCACCCAGTACACATGTGAGTGCAGGGAATCATGGGAGGAGAGAGCAACCAAAGGCAGGCTGTCTGCAGTAACAAGAGAGCACAAGGCAGCCCAGGCTAGCCCAGTGGTAGTGGCACTGCTAAAGGCTCAGCCTGGGGCAGCACTGCTATGAACTCAGAGCAGAGATTTCTCTGGCCAAAGACACCTGTCACAATGGCTACTGGGGTCACAGGTGTTTGCAGAGAAAGGGAGAGTTTGGGTTTGAGACAAGGTCTCATGTCGCTCAATCTGCCTTGATCCTCCTTCCTCCAGCACCAAAGTGCTGGGATTCCACAGGCGTTCATCAACACCATCAGTGTTATGAGAGACTGAAGACTGAACCCAAGGTTTCACGAATGCCAGCAAGCACTCTACCCACTGAACTGAATCCACAACCCCTTATTTTGTTTTTATAAGACAGTTTTGCTGTGTACCCTAAGTTGTCTTCAAACTCTCTGCAGTGTGAGCCTCCCAAGTGTTGGGAATCTGCAGTTGGTTTAAATCCAGAGGACAAGTTGTAAGTGTTGATAGACATAGGCACAGTGTATGTCTGGTATCAAATTCATGGAAGGAAATTTTAAACACACACACACACATTCACACACCGGGGGGGGGGGGGCGGGGGGATGTTTATGGTGGTTAATCTTCATTTTCAGCTTGACTGGCTTTGAAATCCCACAGGAGTCTATCCTGTAGGTGTGTCTGTGAGGGTGTGTACAGAGAAGTTTGAATGAAGAGGAACAACCAACCCTGAATGTAGGCAGTTCTAAAAACTCTAGGCTTGAGGTCCACAAGATGCTGATTGAAGAAGAGATTAAGAGCCACACTGCCATCTACTGGCTGAAGCTGTCCCAGACCACCCAGTTCAAGGCAAAGGAAAATTGATCCCGATGAGGAATGGAAGTTTAAAAGAATTTGCAACCAGGACATTAAACTGCTACAGAAAAGGGTCTTAATCTAGGACCATCTCATTGCTTATTATAAGAACAACAAGTCTCTCCGGCTCCTCCCTGGCAAGTGAGTTGGGAGTGTGAGCCAAGGCACCAGGTGCGTGCAAAGAAAGACTATGAAACTTCCTG